CTTCCTTCCTTCCTTCCTTCCTTCCTTCCTTCCTTCCTTCCTTCCTTTCTCCCTCCCTCCCTCTCTCCCTTCCTTCCTTCCTTCCTTTCCCTTCTCTTTCTTTCAAATTATCATAACTTACATTTTCTAAGAATGGCCCTAGCTTCCTGGTTTGCTCTACCTTAACAAGTCAGGTATACAGGGAAAATCAGATCACGTACACAAAATGTGGTCAACCTATACAATCTTATTATTTTTGATATTTTAATTCTATAGTTAATTTTAGACCATTTTTATTGATTTCCCTATATTACAGCATTTGACTCATTTGTCTTTCAAAGACTAGTAAACCTTAATTTGCTTTAGCAGCTCTGAATGGATTTTTATTGTTTCTTACCACTACCTTTCAACTCATGTAATTTGAAAACTAAATGCAAACTGTAAAATTCAGTCCAACTGGTAGTATTCTTTTAATATCAATTTTTATATAATTAGCCCCCAAACTGTTTTCAATTACTAACAATTAATCTTATGCACTTGGAGCGACAGCACTGATTTGACATTTAGCAGCATTTAAAAGAAAGGTAGTGCAAATACCATAGGGAAAAAGTTCCTCCCCAAGGAGTTATGCTTTATTATCACTGACTAGAGAATAAAAGTACTTTCCCATTACAGTCTACTGTAGGGGCCCACATTTTCTTTAACTCTAGACCAGGAGAATTGTGTAACAAACACACAAGTAAAATCACACATACTTTAATTACAGTATTCAATGGGACAGCTAGCCTTTTAAAAAAGATCCTGAATTTTCTATGTTCTTTTGACAATTTTCTGGGGTTAGTATTTTCATCAGTGCTATATGGTTAATTGCCCCATTAAGGCTGACTGTGAGAAGCCAAACAATTGAACCATAATGGAACAAAGAATGAGAACAGCAGCTGAAGGTATAAAATTGTAGAAAATGTCTTATCATAGAAGAAATGCCATTAGAAATCAAGCAATTCTTCAAACAGAATGTATTTAGTCAGTGCTTAATACATGTTATAGTGCTAAATAGCTTTTTAAATATATAATAATGTCTTTTTTCTTTTAATAGTACCAATTTCCAATTGACTACGTAATATATCAATACTGACATCTATATGTAACTCCCAAAATATTTGTTAGCTAAAGTTCATATCATGTCTGAATTATATGAAAGTAATTTTTTAAAATATCACTTTAGTTTCTCCTAATAATTCAAGGTCAACTACAATGAATAAACCAAGGTTTAAACTGTTTCATAGTGTCAAAAATATAATGAATACATGTTGGATTGTATGGCTGGTGCTTAGCAAAAGGTGCACACATATCTGTTTACTTTGGTATTTCATGACTTTGACCTTTTAGGTGCTTCTTGTTAGTAATTGGTTGATGAGGAGTTGTAGCCAATTTTAATGTTTGTAATTCATACTTAGATATGCAAATTGATGAGCACATTATAAATTTTTTAAATTATCAGAACAATTTATAGTGCAAAGTGGCATTGCTCCAGAGGCTGAGCAGTGGCCTGGGAACTCAGAGCTGTGCATTTTAATTTTGATTAACTCTCAGTGTGACCACAGGCAAGTGCCTTAATCTCCCTGTATCTTGGACTATTCATCTGTAACATGAATGTAACAATTTTCTTACTGCAGCTAAAGTGAGGTATAAATATGAAGCACAGAGTAGCTTAAAACTAAAGAGTACTGTATATATCACACAGAAAACCAATATGAGACTAAAGGTTTTATGGGTTTAATAAACATTAAGTATTATGTCATTCATACAAAGATAAGACAAACGGCCCAAGCTAAAAGCTATGGAACTCATCGTATCCCAATCTAGAAATTTTATTAAAATGCATTTAGCATAAGAAATAAAAATTTGTAATGGTGTCAGACTTATGTGGACATTCATTATTAAATTAACTTTATTCTTTATTCTGTTTTCTTCAATGCTATATACGTCTTTCAAAAGTGTAATAATGAATTTTAAAATGCTTTACTAGATACAGTCTTTAAAAGAAATCTTTCTTTTTCTCTCCCTAACAATGCCTATGTTTCCATTAGGCATTTTAACTTTATACAAGGAAAACAAAAATTATACAAAGGCATTCAGCTTAAAAGCAAAACATTAGAAAAAACACTCAGATTTGCAGTAATTCATTGCAAGGGGTAAATTTGTATTCTTGAACTCACCTAGTTGTCCCACCTGTTAAATAATATACTGTATTCTGAGAGCCATAGATACATAGGCGCAACTGGTGAGTTGATGATGGAATTTCAGCCTCTTTACTTTTCCATATATTGAAACACCAATCTTTTTAGCTTAATAAATAGTTCTGCAACACTAAATTTCAGCAGGGAGGCCATTCTCCAGTTGTATAGCAATGCAATTTTAAGTTCTAGTGTCTTCCCAAGCCTCCCTTGCATTGTGAAGCCAATATTTAGAAAGCTGTAGCAAACTAACACCTGTTAGACATAAATCACATGCAGAAATCTACAACTGGACAGGCTCAGGAAGATATAATAGATCAAATCCATGAAGAACCTCACAATGAATTAGGAAAATCTTAAACTTAATCCTATAACCTGACAGGCAGTCAGCAGACTGACTTATGGAGAGCTGTAATGTAGGAATCAGAATGAATGCCAGATGGCTTCTAAAACTCAAATTTGAAAAAAAAAAAAAAAAAGAATAAACTCATTTGAAGATAAGCACAGGGAGGGAGGCTGACAAGGAAAATGCAGTCACAAAATGACACACAAGGATGAACTAATATTTTACACGGTATTCTCTTTCTTTTGTTTCTCCCAGCCAGCTTGACAGAAAGTAGTAATGTTTGACTAGTCACAAGCCTAATACCAGATGCCAGTTTGAACAGGTGCAAAAACAAAGAACAGAACACTTCCATTTGGAACATCAGCTCTTTATGTAGCCCCTGATATGCTTTGTGGGAACTCACCTACTAAGTTTCCTATTGCTATTTCCCTGATTAGGAGAAGTTCTATTTGATGAATGCATAGCATATTCCCTTAGTCAATGGAAACAATTAAATAAAGGAATGACCAATTAGTTCATCTGGGACTTATTCTAATTCAAACAGCCCACCATCATGGGATGATATCAGTGCTGGAATTTTCAGATCACCTGGGTAGAAGAAAATGTGCCTGTTACCTGTTACAATTACCACACAATTGTAATGCTTTACAACGTTCTTTTAATGGTGAAAGATAGTGGAAACTGGCACTGCCAATTATCAATGTTAAATGCATGACCAATCAGTATGAAGGCCGCAAACAAACCAGCAGCTTGTTCCATAGACTCAGTTGGTAAATTGGATGCAGGAAGACAGAGGAACACAGTATTCCTCCTCTGTAGGTGGTCTCTGTTTCATTAGGTTTCAATTGATGTTGCTGCACAGTAATCCAAAAATGTGTGATGGGAACATCACTCTCATTTTTCATTAACACCCCTTTGCAAATGTATTGGAGGCAGGTACAAAACAATGATTTTTCCAGGCTTACTTTTATCCTTTTGGAGACTATTTCTTATCCAACTTCGCTGCTGGATGCTCCGTTTCTCCTTGTTTAGAATCGCTGTAGTGACCCATCACTGTTTGATATGATCAACTTCCTTAAGGATGCTGTGTAAAGAGTGAGAGAGCTGCTAATCTTTAAAAGACAAGTGATTTAGGAAAAATCAGCTTATATATAGTAATGAATAGTGACATGGCTACAAGATAGGTGAGAAAAGAAAAAATAGAGATGAGGCTTATTGTTTCAGGAAATCTACCAGGAATGTATAAAGCATGGAATTTTTGAGAGATCTTAGAGATCATCCTGACTGAATTCCTCATTTTCATTTTATAAATGGGAGAATTGTGGCTCATACTGGCTCTAGCTTTCGCAAAGCAATGCAATTATTAGCAAAAGCTAAGATGGGAAAGCCGAATCTATGACTTGTGCTCTATTCTGTATACCATGCTCTGTCTATAATAGGTGGGTGCAGATAACTACAACGATTGCACAATTCATATCCTCTGCTTCCTTAAGCCTACAATCATAGCTTTTATTAATATAGTTTCATCAAGTTCTTATCTAAAATATCCTTCAATTTGCAGTTTTTGGAGAAATCATTCAGCATTATGCTATGAGTAGCAGTGTTAATTTCCTGGGAGAAAGTGGTGTACTTTTTGGGTGGATTTCCTGAGACATTAGGCTCATGTCTGTTTTTTCTTGTATTACCTAACTTCAGTTCCTGTGTTATTATTAGCTTGAAAGCCTGCCCTGAATCATCATCTATTGATGGAGATGGTGTCATCCTACCTTGATTGTATCCAGAAGTTTCATCCTCAGGATAAATGATGGACACCTCTCAGATGACCAACCTCTTTTGCTCGACTCTAGGGAAGGTTGCTTCTTGCATTCTGGCAACTGCCCTCTGTCTACATGATTAGACTCGTTGGTTGCAGTGCTTCCTGGAGTAATGAAGGGATCTGGGGCACAGGGCTTAACCCACTGGGCACCGTCTCTAAGCCAACTTTGCCTGAATGGGTCCCCTGTTTTTTTCTTCTGCTCTTGTTGAACCGTGTCTCTATTCCTCACGCTCCTGGGAATTTCTTGCTTTGGTAAGTGGAGAATCACCATGCCTCAGCCATAGGCAACATACACCTGGAATGGTGAATTATGGCATTTTGTTTCTCAGGATTATTTACCCAGCTACTTTGATAACTAACATAATCATTCCAGAATATGAATCTCAAGAAAAAGAATGTCTTATTTCAAACTATTTAAAATTATTTAGATACATTGTATTTTATGTGTGTAAATACAGAATAGTTTATAGATATATCACAGTTTGCTAAATTTTGCAGTGTCTTATATTTATTTCTTTACCAAAAATGCTAGAAGTAAATTTATGCTATTCACTGTGATTCATCTTTGTTCTATTTTAAGAGCATTGAGTTCTCATCCCCAAAAATGGAATTCCAGAGATAACAGATACAGGAAAAATAGATGGCAGATTTTTGTTGTGTTTTCTTATTGTAACTTAAAGTCATGTGATTAACCATATCCTGTTTCTTATAGTAAGGGTAAATAAGAACATGCTAACCAAATAATCAAAACAAATGGTAAGTATACCAAGTGCATCACAGTGCTGCCAGACATATGTTAATTTCATTTGTAACATTCATCTGTCTTCTTAATGTTGCTTACACAGTTATTAGCAAAAATATAAATAAATAAATAAATAAATTGAGAAATTTAAAAATAAAAAATGTAATAGCCACTCAGTTTTTTGGATAAGGGTTTCCTTGATTCCTATCAATACAAATATTGTTTATATGATGTGATTAATTGAATGATTTAAAGATGCCTATTTGTCATGTCACTTTGTTTAATGACATGTATGTATATTTTTAAATGTACCTTAACAAAATTGTGTATACATATATACATATATATGTATACCCATTTTTAAGGATAATGTTCAAATAATGTTACTTTGCTTATACTCTGCTTGAGTAAAAGGATTTACTGTGGTTTAACAGAGTGTGTATGGTGTGGATTAAGCCTTCTGCTCTCATTAGAGGATTTCTGTATCAGGGCTATATCTTTTATGAAACCTTAACATCCCCAGGCTCAGAGCCCCTTGAGAGGTAGTTAGGTCTTAAACAGGTGTTTTTAAAAATGTAATTCCGTATTGACTATGATATTAAAACTAACAAAAACTCAACTGAGAAAATGAATTTGGAGTTTAAATATTCAAATAGTGGAATTTGGGGCACAGCTATGTTGCCCTAAACACACACAAAACGTAGGATTTGTCATCAATGATTTATATCCCATGTGGCAATAACAAAATAAGAAAGAAAATATATTTACATGATGAAAAGTTAGAGAATCAGCACCTGTAAAGCTGCAAAGAACAGAAAACTCAACTCAGCAATGTCTAACTGAGAAAGAGGATTGATTTTTCAAGCAAGGAAAATCAAGAGGTAGGGCAAACTTCTGGACCACTTGATCCAGAGACTTCAGCTTGCCTCCAGTGCTTTCTATCTCTCTAGTCAATTTTCTTGGGTTCCAGGAAGGGCTCCACCCCATGGCTGCTTCCCACTGTGGTGAGATGATGCTTCCAGCTTCAGTGGGATTTCATGCTGCTTCAATTCATGGGAGAAAAAGCTTTCAAGCAAGTCTACAGGACTTTCCTGGAACTAGGAGTAGAGTCAACTTTCCCTAAAATTATGGATCATATAGCAAAGGAGTATGTAAGGAATATGTAGGGAAAGATTATATAGATATATAACACCTCCTCACCCACAAACACAATTTCTTATTTTCTTTTCTTTTAGATTCAGAGGGTACATGTGAAAGTCTCTTCAATGGATATAGAGCATAATTGTGAGATTTGGGCTTCTAGTGTACCCATCACTCATATAGTGAATATTCAGGGTAATTTTTAACCCTCATCCTCCCCTCACCGTTCCCCATTTTGGAATTCCCAGTGTTTATTATTTCCATCTTTATGTCCATGTGTACCTATTGTTTAGCTCCCACTTATAAGTGAAAACATGTGGCAACAAATTCTTATTTCTGAAGGAATTGGGAATCAGTATTAGTGCATTATAGAATTAGAATTTTCAAGTTAGATTTCACATGTACCAATGAGGTGTATTAGCCCAGTGCCCATCATTTTAGTTAGGAAAATTATCAGGAAATATAAAACCTCAAATCTTAGTATATGAAAGAAATTCTATTACAGTGATAATAATAAGAGATGTGTAAATTGAACCTTATAGAACAAGAAATGTTGGGAAATTCAGAGTCATATATTTATTAACAATAATATTAAGGAAAAGTATATGAAATACTTTCTATTTCTTGCTGGCATCACTTTAAATTTTCACATCCAATAACTCATCTCAGTATTTTTTTTCTTTCTTTCTTCTTAGGTCATGAAAAAAAAAATGGAAACTCTCTCAAGGACTAACAATCAGAGCTGCTTGGTTGACAAGGGACGTTATAGTTGCAAGAAGACCCTGAAGCAAGGATTCTACATCAAACATTCAGGGCAATCTGAGTTTGTATTTAAGATCCTTCTGCCTATAGCAGTAGCTTATATGTTACATTCAATTGACATATAAGTACTGTGAAGAAATATTTTATTATGACTACTAATGACATTAGCATTGTATATTTCATAATGTAATTGCAGACAGAAAGTTGGTATATTTAATTCAAATTATGATTATTCTTTAAAAGCAAAACTTGAAAATTCAGTTTATATACATAATTATTTGTTGCATACCTATTCCATGCCAAGCACTGAGCAAGGTGTTATAAAATAAAACATATAAAAAATGATGTCCCTTTTTACAGACTAATTTTTACCATTTTAAGTAAGAAATATAATCTAATGCCCTGAATAGTTAGTCAGTTTATATTGGGAACATCATTACTTTGAATAGAAGATTTTACCAAAATACATTAAAACTGTGAGAAATTGTCAAAAAATTAAATGACCGTAATTCTCTCACCTCAAAATAAGAGAAGTGATTTGGCTTAAACTGTGGAAAATAAGTTTTTTAGAGTCCACATTGCCAAGGAATTGCAGTTGGCTTTACATGTAGTGGCTACTCCTTTATAAAACATACTTCTGTGTTCAAAGTCTGTAGCTAGGGGAAAGTAAATTTATCCTACAGCTAAACAAAAGTTCAATGATAAGAAAGAAAGTACAAGGAATTTGTGAGTAATTTTTTCTCTTTTTTCTTAGGGAATGCATGTGCATTTCTGCAGCAAAGAAGAAAATTAAAGAAAAACATTCTCCTCAAGAATCTTTCTTTGAATTTCATATGTAGACTCAGAAAACAGTATTGCTAGCACTTTTTATTCTGAATAATACGTTTCAGTCAGATGTAAGCTATTTTTTAATGTTTTGTTTTGGAGAAGGATTACTAATTTAACTAAAACTTTGAAAAGCAAATATAATGATTACAGTGAAATATGTGCTTCTGAACTAAATTTTCTGTTTGCATGGTCAAATATCATTTGGATGGAATTTTTTCCCAGTTTCCATTTTCAAAATCAGCATAATTTGTGAAAAACTCTTTTGCTTATCAATAACTAGACAACTAAAGTTCTAATATGTCTAACACCCTTAGCATTTTGATTTTTATTCATCTCCCTGTTGGTGATATATTGATATTCTTGTTTAATTAGTGGTATGAATGGTAGAATCTGAGGTCTTAAATTATTTGCCAAAGTCACTGGGTTAACTCCTTAAAGCTGATCAGATGGGCTTTCTTTCTAACATCCTATTACAGGAGGTTTTTGTAAACTAGTGGTATAAACGATTATTTTTAGTTAAGAGAAGCCCCAGGAAAGATTAAAAAAATGGAATAAAGACATTCCAGTTCTTGATCTTATCTTTTTCTCATCTCAACCTTTAGAGAGTCTTGCTGGAAGAACACAAGGAAAGGCAGGAAGGCTTCTTACAGATCTTTGAGACCTCCTTCCACTCAAATCCCAGGGGAGCTAGAACGCTATACCTCTGTGGTTCAAAAAGTCTTTGGACCAGAAAAGGGGCCTTTATCTGCCAACATTTCAAACATATTCAATCAAATATTGATCTAGAAAATCAGTTACTTTTTCCTCTAGCAAAGAGATTAAATTAGTACTACCTACTGAAGGCCTACACATGGTCCTCGGGAAGATAATGATGGTACCCTAGGCTATTCCTAGGATCAAAAGTTTATATGGACACCAAACTGATTTAACGTTTTCTGTAATGCATGGAGACAAAAGGGTGAAAGATCTGCTTGCCAATAGTAATGTGCTGGAGATTATCTCATGTGGCGAGTCCTTGCATCAAGAAGCCAGGTTATGGTTTTCAAATCCATCTCATCTCTGAAAATAAAAGAAATGGAACATGGCCTGTTTCACCTCACTGAAAGGTTTTCATCACTAGAAATATCTGATGCCTCTTATTCAAGTTGACAGTAGCACATGTTCCTCTGACTCATAAACAGTCCTTCTCTCTATTGTGTCCTGTTTCCAAGAAGTACTTAATGTTATGTTATTAAAGAACAGGAGGTTTGTCTGCCTATTCGTCCACAAACATGAAGCTCTCATAAATGACAAAAAGCTTTTCAAATTCTAAAATCAATTGGAATTTCATGCTTAATTTATGAAATGATGTGGCCAAGTTGGTATATAATATAAAAGGTAAACTTTAGCCTCCATATACTAGAAAATAGGGACAGCTCAATTTTAATTAGAAATTTCAGGTTGCAGAGAAACTTGTCTTTTCCAAAGTACCTATGATTTATTTATCAGTCACTTTTCTACTCTAAAAAAATGGATTTTTTTAGTTGTCTTTGCATTTACCTTTACCTAATCAAGGAAACAAGAAAAGATTACATATCTTACAAATTATGCACACTCAAATCAAAATTTCATGAGTTAGTAAAAGTAGGAAAATAAAACATTACCCTTTTCCTTTGAACCTTACATATGGCAACAATGACATCGGTATTGTGAAACTACTAATTAGAGGGGAATATTGTGCAAACTAGGCATATAAACAGTCATTATATTTAGTCAAACGTAATAATCCTTCAGGTTATGGGATTGTTAGTTGTTTGACACAAAGGTTAGATTCTTACATAAGATGGGCATATTTTGGAAACCTGGCTTTGGGTTTTTATGGCACTGACCATAATAGATTTATTATTAAGAAGATTATTTCAAACATTGTCACCATGTGGTCCCTCAATTGTTTTGGCTGAATTGACTGCTAATGCAACCAAATCAGTTCTCTGAATTCACTGTTGTTTTCAGCATCATGGCAATGCAGTCAAACAATTATGAAAATTCTTGAGCAATTACTCTATGCTAGCCACTTTGCTAAGTGAGGAGAATATAGAATATGGCGATGACTAGTGATATAGATGGGCCCTCCTCTCAAATAATCAAATAAACACATTACTTCTGTAATAAGTGCTGTGAAAAGGAGGTACAGACATTTGCTAAGCACCTGGTTTGTGTAGGGCTTTTTGTTTATTTCATAAATCAATATAGAATCTTATATGAAGGTTGAAAAGATGAATTGAAAGTTTAAGAACTAAAGAACTCTGATTTCACAGGATTCTTGCATGGAAAAAAAAGTCAGAAGAGTTCAGTTTATGGCAAGCACAATGGAAGACTGGTATGACATGGCTTTCAAAATAAGTCATATAGTATTAGGCCCATTAACAGAGCCCAAGGTATAGATTAAAGAAGGAAAAGGCATTTTGGACTTGACACCAGTCACATGAATTGGGTTCTATCTCCAGGAAGTACAAATTAAAGGGGATATTAAAAATCTGGAGGTGTCCACCGGAGCTGAATCCATGTGGTAAAAAGTCCAGAAACCATGTCTATGAGAAACATTTGAATAAAGTGGAAATCCTGGCACAGAGAAAACAAGGGGTATTGTTATAGTGTCTTTAAATAATTAATATGCTGTCATGGAAGATAAATTAGATAACGCATAGCCATATGTGACAGATCTTAGACCAACCGAAGGGAAGAAGCTACAAGTTTAAATTTAACATTAACGATGAACCTTTCAACAATAAAAACTAGTTGAAAATGCAATACATTACTTTGTGAGGCAATAGATTCCATGGCATTAGAAATATTCAAATAGTGGTTTGAATAAAGTGCTTTTAAGAAATGCTATGGAAAGTTTTCTTATAATTATTGATATATTTAGACCAAATGTTTTCTAAGATTTCTTTCAACTCTAAATTTTTATGATTTCACGTATAGTTACGAGAGAAGCTCATGTTCTAGAATGCATAAATCTAAAATTTTCTTTCCTTCTGCGGAAATTTAGTGAAAGTCTGTAATTGTGGTAAAGTAAGGATAAATAAACATAATTTCTGAACACAAGGTACTTATCGTCTTGTGGAGATAACAAGCATTTGAAAATAAGAAAATGGTTCAGGGTGTAATAAATGCAGTGATACAGTTAGATAGAAAGATGTCTGAGAAGAAATGATAGTATTCAATTCTGAAGGAGGTGGTAATGGAGAAGCAGACAAGCTTAATAGAGAAGTCAGGCATTAATCCTTCCTGTTTTTGTTTCTTTTTAGAGGATGAATGAAAAGTAAGAAAGGTCAATGACTTAAAGCAAAGAGCACCTTACATTGCCTCTCCCAGGTTACTTCAGTTCACTTGAGAAATATTTATGCAGTTTAGAAAAGCAGAGTTTTGTATCTGTCCTGAATTGAGTTCTATACTCAAAACAGAGGTTAGAGTAATGGAGCATAGGCTCTGCTACAGAACCCTATACATAAGCTATAGACTAACATACACATTTTGGGTATGAAATCCTTTATAGATATATAAATAAAATTGAATATATCCTAACACCATTATTTGGGTTTTCATAGAAGTATTTTATTTATTTTTATTAAAGATCTCTACCTAAAGATGTACAATTTCCTTTCTCAATAATGGCTTTAAAAAACAGCTTTTAAAAATTTAATTCATATATCATACAATTCACCTGCTTAATGGACACAATTAATTGATTTTAGCATATACACAGATGTGCAATAATTACCACAGCTAATTTTAGAACATTCTTATCACCTCAAACTGCATCCCTCTAGATGCGACCCCCACTCCCTCTTATTGGTCATCCCCAAGCAACCACTAATGTTTTCAAGGTCCATCTGTGTCATAGCATGTATCAATGCATCATTACTTTGTATGGCCAAATAATATTTCATGGTGTGGATATACTACATTTGTTTATTCATCAGTTGGTGGAAACTTTTTGACTATTATAAATAATGCTGCTATAAACATTTGTGTACAAGCTTTAGTGTGGGTATATGTTTTATTTATCTTGGGTATCTCCCTAGGAGGGGAATTCCTGTATCTTATGGTAACTCAATGTTTAACTGAGAAACTGCTAGACGTTTTTAAAAAGTGGATATACAATTTAACATCCCACAAGCAATTTTTCTATATCTTAGCCAACTCCTGTTATTATCTGACTTTTTGATTCTAGTCATCCTACTAAGGTTGGTGTGGTATGGTATCTCATTGTGATTTCGATTTGTGCTTCCCCAATGACTAATAATGACAGCTTTTTATGTAATTATTGGCTATTTGTATAATTCCTTTACAGAAATAGAAATTCAGATTGCTTTCCCATTTTTAATGAGGCTATTTATCTTTTTATTACTGACTTGTAAGAGTTCTTGGTATATTCTAGTTACAAGTTTATCAGTTATA